CACACCAGGTGTTGTCACATGTGGGCAGGGCATCTGTCACATGTGGACATGCATCTCTTGCATCTGCCCTCGAATGTGCCCTGACATGTGCAGTGACATCAGCATCGTCCGGGGCACCATTGACATCACTTAGAGCAGAGCGCTCACCGTATGCCAGGCTCTGCTCATTTCACACTGCCGATGCCTAATGAGGCAGGTACTACTATCATTTCCCTATTACACACAGGGTAAGTGGGATGTAGAAAGCTTATGTGCCTTGTCCAAGGAGGCATGACATGGCCCAAGGCTTGACCTGAAGCCAGGACCTTTGAGCCTTGCCACACTGCCCCTCAGCTCGGGCCGCCCCATGAAGCTCCCTCAGGCCCCAGCACCTCCCTGCCCTGCTCCACAGAGGGAAACCAAAACCACTGCGGTGCCTGCCACCTCCACAGCCCTTTGCTAGGATCTCACACGCCCTTGGGAAGCTGAACCTCACACTGAGGCTGGGCAGACCCTTCTGAGGATGTACTGGCCCTGGCAGGGCAGAAAAGATTTGCAGAAGTGTGGAAAGGCCCTGGAGGGTGGGACTTAAGTTTTGAAAGCAACAAGGTTCAAAGTAACAACAAAATCACAATAAAAAAGAGAAAAAAGAAGTCTCTCTGGCTGTCAGATCTATTTGTTTTGCTAAGTTGCAACAAAAGACTGATTTTTTTTTTTCCTGTGCTTAATAATACTTAAAAAAGATTTGTTAGTGAGCCTATAGTATGTTTAATTTTTGTGTGTGTGTCAGAAATGGAAATTATTTCCTCTGATTTCATGAGCCTGGGAACCTCCCTCCAAAGCCCCAAAGTGCACTTACGAACAACAGGCAGGACAAGAGAGCTTAAGGTCCATTTATAACTGAATCCTTAACAGTCTCCTTTCTTCTATAATTTCATGGTTTGTTTGGAAAACTGCCCAACTATGACACTGTATCATCTGGGGTAATACAGCCCTGGTGTGGCAAGCTCGTCTTCTCCGGCAGTGAACAGCGAATAGCAGGGGTAGGAGATAAAGCGTGATTTCAAAACCGAGTCAGGAAGGTGCGCGAACAGGAACACCATGTCACAAATAGCTTCTAAAACACACACCCTATAAGAAGTCAAAA